ACAATATTTCAAAAATAATAAGATAAAACTCTCATGTATTGTACAGGGCGGGACCTAGCATGAGACCCTATACATGTATACTCCCTCCATTCCATAATGTAGTGCCTATAGATTTTTGTAAAAGTCAAACTTTGCCAACTTTGACCAAGTGTATAGAGAAAATTGTCTACATCCACAATATCAAATATGTATATTCTGAAAATATAACTCGTGATGTATCCAATGAGGTGCATTTGGTATTCTAGATGTACCTACTTTTCTCTATATACATGGTCAAAGTTTGTAATGTTTGACTTCTGTAAAAATCTATAGGCACTACATTATGAAACGGAGGGAGTATTATGTTTGCCATGTCTCTAGGGCCGGGGTCATGTTTGTGAAATCTCCGACAATACACCTTTTTTGACACAGTCTGTTTTATTGACTCGTAAAATTGCATCAAGATGATATAAGCATGATGTGTTCGAGCTCAGCCTTTGGATAATTGAGATGCGCACGTTAACTACGACGCACCCACAGAAAAAAAGGGAAACATAATGCCAATAACCGATTAATCTTCTAGGGAGGTGGTAGACTACAACACCATCTATGATGATGTTTGTTACTCCCTAGAACAGTAAAAACACATCATGCTACATACGCCACTATATCTTTTTTTTGCAGGGTACATACGCCACTATATCTAGCCGGTTATTGCTAGGGTTCCAGTGACGGGGTGCAATGAATTTGTTCGTCTGTTCCGAAGACATGAAAATTCACCATGTCGCTATATTGTGTCATAAGAATCGATGAAGAAGACATGTGGCTATATTGTGTTACTACAAGAATACTTGTTTGGATCTATAGTAGGCTGTCAATTTTGGACACAAGAAGAAAATGACTAAGGCCAACTTCACCGCGCGACTCTATCCTGTCCGGCCCCATCCGTTTGGGATAAAACGGACAAAGGAGGCGGCCCAGCGCGCGACGGCCCGGACCCATCTTGTCCGCGTGTCCGGGCCGACCCATTTCGAGCGCAAACTTGCGCCGGGTTTGGATCGCGGCGGACACCAAACGGACGCGCGCTTGTCCGCGTCGGGGCCGCGTGGCAGGCGGCCACCTACCTCCCACCCGCCCACATCAATGCGCACGAGCGGACGGCCCCACCTGTCATCCGCACGTTGAGCGGTCGCCGTCCTTCTTTAAGTAACAAGCGTGGACGGGTCGTCGTCCACACTGCCCCACGCCACCCCGCAGCCTCCTCAAAACCCGACAGCGGCGACCACGTCCCAAACCCTAGCCTAGACCTCGCCGGCCGGCCGCCCGCAGCCAGGGGCATCTGGAACTACGGCCGCAAAGGCAGGCACGACCGCGAGGCCGGCTCCTCGTCGGGACGCCGCCGTGGCTCGGTGAAGAAGGAGGAGCCCGCCTCACCATCGCCACCACGCCGGGCCCTCGCGCCGCCCGCCTTCTCCATCGCGCCCACGTCCGCCGGCGAGCGCGACCGGCATTACGTCCGAGCGTCGGTGTGCCGCCGTTATTGGGAGACGAGGACGCCGCTTCCCTGGAGCGACGCCCATCTCCCCAATAACTGGCACCTCTCCGTCGACCGGGTCCCCATCCCGCTGGTCCCGACGAGCGGCCGTGCGTGCAAAGAGGAGATCGAGCGCCGCCGCCGCCTCCTCCCCGACGACCCCTTCTACGACCCCAGGTACACCCCCGACTCCGCGCTGTGGGACACGTGGTTTCGTGACGAGCACGACACCAGGCGCGCGTCCTTCTTCGCCGGCACCTCGACGGGGCCGCGGCGGCCACGACAGGGGCGCGCCCAGGAGCGCGGGCGTAGGCGGGTGCGCGGCGTCACGCCTACGCCGTCGCCATCGCCGTCTCCGTCGCCCCCTCCACCTCCTCGCATGTCAGCGGAGGAGGAGGCCCGTCTCCTCAAGCGTGTCATGGACGACTCCATGTACACGCATGACGAGCGGCAGTGGGACGGCCTGGAGGAGGCCATGGCCCTCTCTGCCGCCGGGGACGTCGCCTTTCCGGAGCTCCAGATGGTGGCCGTGGAGGACGAGAGGAGGGAGGACCCGCCGGCCGCGTTCCAGCAGCTGCTGGGCCAGAGGTGGCGCTGGTCCTGCACTGCTCTGGAGATGTCCGCCGGCGTGGGCGTGAACTGGTGCCCCACTCCGCCGCGGTCACCGGAGCGGGAGGCCTCGCCACGGGAGGAGGTGGTGCAGGCAGCTCCAGCCGTCCAGCCCGCCCCCGTCCACCACGCACCTCCGACCCACCTGTGGACGCCGCCGGACTACGTCGACCTCGTCAGCGACGACAACGACACCAGCGACCAGTGAAGACGGCGACGGCCACGGCACCGACGGGCGCGGCAAGAGCGCGCGGGAGGCGGAGGCGTTTTTTTATTTTGTTTAATATGTTAATTATGAAAAATGGGCCTTTTAAGTGGCCGTGGAAACTGGCCGTTTTGTGGCCGCTCCCTATATATATTTTATGTTTTTCTAAAATGTGTTTATTTAGTTTTTTTAGTTATTTCGTTTTAGTTTTAATATTTTTTTATTCACGTCCACCCCGGACACGATTTGGGGTGTGGCCGCGCGGTGCGCGCACGTACGACCCATCTGACAAAGGCGGACACGGGCGAACCCATCGGCGCCCCAAAGGGACAAAATCCGGCTAATTCGAATGTCTGTTTGGGGTCGCGCGGTGGAGTTGGCCTAAAAGATACTTTGCCATGGACTGGGATCTTCTTCCTCAAGACCCAACCGAAGAGGCACGGCATGAAATAACCTCTCACGGTGCTGGGAGTCACAAAGGATCAAATGATCCACCCATGTCGAAGACACATTGCCACTCGCACCACGGCGGAGGCCCCCACCTCGCACTCGCACCCACAAATCTATCTTGGGAAAAGCTTTGATGTCCATGGTCCCCTGTAGATCGAGCCCAATCGAGGCTCCCGCGCTCCCCAGCTTTTGGCGCCTCCTCCAAATCATTCGTCCATAATTCACCCCGCACGCCACTCCACGCACCACCCCCCTCCTCTCCCCAGCGCGTAGGGGTAGAGGGGTAGGCCGGCCGGGCGGAGCGAGCAGGCATGCGTCCCCATCCACCACCCAACTCCGCCATTGCTTCCCCTTCTTCTTGGCCCTGTCGATCTAGGAGTGGCAAACGGCCCGGCCCGGCCGGCCCTGCGCGAGGGTCAAGATTCGACGCTGCCGCCGCGGCGCGCGCACCAGCCCAGCAGTGGCTGCCCGGTGCGGTCGGTCCCTTGCCCGTGGAATTTTGAAAAATATGATTCGGGGTCTCCGAGGAATCCTCCTCCTCTGTGGATCACCGACCGTTGCGTCACGACGGCAGTGCTTCCATCGAGCTGCCACCCATGCAGCATCAGTGCTGCTTACGTAGAAACAGCATGGCCGGGCCTTGGTACCATGCCATTGCCATGCATACGTGCATCTCAAAACGGCGGGTACCCTACCAGCTACCAGCAGCAATGGCCATGGCTCTTTCTGCCTTTTGGAATCGGAGCCTAATGCTTTTAGCAGGAAGCTAGCTATAAGCCCGCATCATTGATCGCTGATCCGTCCATGATCTCCCCCACAACCCGTGGATCTGCATGCGCACGTCCGGCCGTCCATGGCTCTTTCTGCCTTTCTGTAACACTGACTGTAACTCTGCTGGCGCACGCACGTCCGGCCGGCCGGCGGGGCGACTGGTCTTTTCCGAGGGCGGGCGGGAGGAAGGGGCCAAGGGGAAAACGAGGAGGAGCCTCGCTGCTGGCGAGTCCGTGATGACACGGACCGGACCAGCGATCGAGCTGACCCGACGGAGAAGCGCGTGCTGTGACACTGTGAGTCAGCACGGCTGCACGGGGTAACTGCACTGCATGCATGGTGTTACAGCTGCCTCCTTCCACGGCCGCACTGCGCCCAGAGCCAGTGCGGTGGCCGGTGGGGTTGCCTTCATGGCTGGGTCGGGTCGGGCCGGGATCAGTAAAGGCAAAGGTGATGAGGCGGGCGGCCCTGGGGTCGGATCATTGGTGCCTGGTTTGGGCCGTGTGGGTCGACCCCGGGCAGGGAGTGAGGGACGGAGCATTGGTGCCTGGGGTGGGGGTCCGTGTGGCAGACGCGGCTGGAGGGAGATCACTGGGATCGTGCGCGGAGCAGCGGTGCCCCACGCACGGCCACAGGGCGCAGGCAGGCACACACTGGCAGTGGTGTGATCTTTTCCATCCATCCATCGTCTGCCCCTTGCGAGTCCCGGGTGGTCATCATGCTCTCTCTGTGACTCACCGGAGACGACACCAGAGAGACGTGTTGGTGTGGGCGAGGTGACACTGCGACGCCCACACCACGGGTACTGCTGCCGGCTGCCGCTCGCTGCTCCGGTCCACTCCAGCGTGCTTCCTTCCTTCCTTGCTGAAAACTTGAATTTAAAATGCTGAGCTGTGACATATTATTGGTCTGCCTTTCTCATGCCATTTCTGGGGCACTGCCTGTGAGTGATCTGCGTTTCCTACGTGGAGAGATCAGGTTGTGGTAAAAGGGAGCCGACACTTTTTTTTTTTTTGAGGGGGGGAGCCGACACTTCTGCCAAGTTTAATTTGCGACAGGAGATGAGATAGAGATGACTGTCCCCGGCCCGTACCACGCCCAGATCCACATTGTTCGTGCCTGAGGCTTGCCACGTAGGCTGCTTGCTCATCCTCAGACCATCGAGAAAAACCCTCACAAATTGCAACCACATAAGCACATCTGGTGGAAATTGAAATGGAAGTAGACTGCTCTTCCTTCCTTCCTTCCTTCCTTCCTGTGAAAACTCTAGGAGAAAAAACTTCATGATTCACCCCTTCAAAAAGAGACGAGAAAACAGGATTTACAACGAGGGTGAGACAACTGTCGGTTTTATAGATCTTTTACCATGCGATTTATACTACATGAGCACATAGACCTTGCAGAAAGCACACAACATTTCTCCAAGCCCAAGCGGCTTGTTGCCATCTTGAATTACGAGTGCTGGTCATGTGAGACCAGATGCTTGTACTTCTGATCCACATTTGACAGCCTCGCCGCCTCCGTCAAGCCCTTGGTCACCACCATCTTCAGAATGTCACATCCCTCCTTTATGGCTGAATCGATCTAGGTTCAACACAGGAAGACACAAAACACATTAAGCATCCGGTTGATGTATGCGGCACTCTAGACAAAGTGTGGAACACCCCTCCACTCAGTCAGTCAGTCAGTCAGCCAGTCAGCCAGACTATCTCTACTACTATTAAAAAAGCAAACATGAGTTTTCCTATAGACACACCGCGAAGTACACACAGAGAAACCACGAACGTCCGATCTAGCAGGCTAAATCACATCCAACTGCCCACGTTACATCGGTGAGTTCAACGGTTGGGATGAAATGTTCTGCCAGCAGACCTACCCTCTCACGTCATGCCAGACAACCCAACCCCCACGATCTCTACATCCCAGGAGCAAATTTCAAGCAGTTTCCTTTTTCTATTGACGGTGATTAACTGATGATCCTGCATGCAAGGAAATCAATTAAAGCCCCTTCAAAAAAAATCAATTAAAGCCTTGACGTTAACGGAGATATGCATGCAGCCCTTGAGTCCAAACATTGCGCAGATTTGTTTCTGATCCCGATGCCACTTTCCATCTGGTGTCCTGGGGTGTGGCCGCTCATCGGCAAGCTCCTCGACATCTGCTGCACGGATCCCTAGGACGCCTCGCCGAATGGTACGGCCCGCTAATGACGCGCCGGCTGGGCACGGTCGTTGTCAACGTCGCCTCCTCCGCGGCCACGGCCCGGACTCGACGCCGAACACCATGCGGCTTCACGGGGGCGTGTTGCAGCCGCAGCTGCGGGACGATGTCCTCGGCATGCTCCGCGGCGTCCGGCCTGCCGGTGGAGGCCGGCCATCGTCGGCCACCCGGCGTTCGCGTCCATGATGGACCTGCAATGGCGCGTCATGTTGTCGGCCGCCACTGGGGACATGGACGCACACGGCGTGGCCGCCAGCGAACAACGTACGCTACGTGTGTGCCCGCGGTGCGGCGCCCCTGCCAGTTCGAGATCCACACCGGTCTCTTCACCGCCGTCGCCATGCTCCCTGCTGCCAGTCCGCCCTCCTCCACCACTATCTCCTCGGCAAAGGGGCCGCTCCATCCATCGGGCCTAGAAGGTAGCGACCATGCCATCTTTCTCCCTCTCAATCCTTCTTTGTGTATTTGGACTCTCACTGGGCACAGTCAAGTGGCAATTACAAGCACACAGAAGATGATGTTCTACTTGATGCACTCTGCAAAGAAAAGAAGGTTGATACAGTTCGCAACAAAAAAAAAGGCCATTGGCCTGATATATGCACACGACATATGCAGTGATATCGTGGAGAATGTGTTGTTGTGCTGATGTTTTTAGCCACTGTGCATTTTTTAGCTATCGTGCAGAAACTATAATCTACTGTGCAGAATATTTCTTCAGAAAATGTGTTATTGTGCAGAATATTTCTTCAGAGAATGTTTTTTATTGTGCAAAATATATTTCTTCATAGAATGTGTTATTGTGCGGAAACTACATCAAAGTCGGCGGACGAGAAGATCCAGTGAACTCATCACTCATCTACATCGGATTGGGTGATAGTATGATGTATGTTTCCTGATCTGCGTGCTATCTCATTGTATTTCTGTCCAGAAACACATTTTGATACTTTAGAGGCATGTCGTATATCTCCAGCAAGATTCAGGTATTATGGATATTGTACATATTCAAGTCCTTCGAACAGTCTATTGTGTGTTGACGGTCGTGTTCATCACTGACAAGATTCCACCCAGCCTCGATGATATGTGTGCTTCGATCTATTTTCATGTTATTTTCTTGGGCGCTTGACAAACGCTTCACAAAATAAGTTCCTGTTAACATACACAACTATGTAAGATGCTTTTACCTGTCTGTAATGTACTTGCAGTCTGTCGTACATTGCCAATTTGTATTGTTTGTAAGCACAAGCAAAAATTATGTGTATCAATCATATATTTTTCTGAAGCTACTAAATTTGACCTGTACTGAATTTTGCTA